CTGTCATACAATTTTTTTCATCGATAGTCTGTAATTGGAACCATAACTCTTATTTATTCAAATTGTATTAATATGTAAAGACCAAGTGTAACCTATATCATCGTTAAATCTTATCTTATAAAACCAGTGGAACTTCAAAATCGTTAAAATTCATGACTCCCGCCGCATTGCGCAGGTACACAACTAGTTTGTTTCTAAAGGGCTGTTTGTTTACCTCTAAATAGTTTCATTAAGAGGCAACATTTGAATCGTTAAGAGATAAATCTTGTTTGGCAAAAAAAGTTTGTCTCTTAATGGTTCTAAAACCCTCTGAATAACATATACCCTCTCCCTTAATCATTCAACACCCTAATTTCATTTCATTTTGCACTACATCATAAGAGCCTCTTAATCATTTTGACCACATAATCATTTTGTACTAAATCATTCAACAACTATCAAATAGTCCCTAAATTGTATCAAGGATATGGTACAACGTGGTTTAAAATTAAAACCACAAATCAAACCATATATATATATATATATATAGAGAGAGAGAGAGAGAGAGAGAGAGAGAGAGAAAGGATTGTTTGTTTACCTCTTAATAGTTTCATTAAGAGGCAACATCTGAATCATTAAAAGGTGAATCTTGTTTGGCAAAATAAAAGTCTGCCTCTTAATGGTTCTAAAACCCTCTGAATGATTTTATATCATGGATCTCACTTAACCATTAAGAGCTCTAATTTCATTGTACACAATTACCAAACAATTATATTTCATTTTGCACTATATCATGAAAGTCTCTTAAACATTCTGACCCACTTAATCATTTTGTATCAAACCATTCAACAATTGTCAAACAACCTCTTATTTGCTTCTCAAACATTTGTATAGTTCTGCTTAAGAAAAACATAAAACTCAAACCGTACCACAAAAGTTCTAACCAACATAATTTGGTTAAGCACAAATAGATTATGCATTTACACGGTAGAATAAAGAGCGGGCTAAATACACCTTTTTCTCACACAAAAAAAGCAAGTCTTGTATTTATATTTTCAATACAAAATTTGACTTGATTTTATCATAAAAGAAAATACATATAACATTATCTAGAATAAACACACATTGCAATCTCCTTCAATATTCCACCTCATCAAAAAGAGCTCAAAATGAATTTTATTGTCTGCAAAAAATTCTTTTCCCATTTTGAAATGGTTCGATGCTTTTTGGGGACCATGAGCATCATATTCTTCAAACGAGATTATATAGAGAGATATCGATCAAATGCAAATCATTCAATTTGTATAAATTGTGCAAATTATTTTCGTACGTTGATTTCATTGTTTAATCTTATGAAATTGTTTAATCTTATAAAATTGTTTAATCTTATGAAATTATTTCATATAATACTTTTTGATGAAGTTGTTTCATATAATACTTAATGAAACTGTTTCATGTATTCCTCTAAAATTAAAATAATGAAGATGATAACGTCCATGATTAACAACATCCACAATGAAAATGATTAATCAACCTCTCATAATTACAAAAAAAAAAATGAACGAAATGACAAATATTGGTTGAATGAGGTTTGTACGGTTTGTACAAATAATGTGGTTTGCAAAATTAACCTCTCTCTCTCTCTCTCTCTCTCTCTATATATATATATATATATATATATGTGTGTGTGTGTGTGTGTGTGTATGTGTGTTTTATTATACAATCCATCTCATTCGTATAATCTATACAACCCAATCAATTAAAAATTATTATGAAAATAATAGGGGTTTTATATTAATAATCAAAATATTTATAAAAAATAATTATAGTTCATTGATTATGATCGATATTTTATATTAATAATCAAAATATTTATAAAACAATATATTTATTATAATAGATCGACGGTTCAGATTGGATTGTATGAATTGTACAAATGACACAAGTTGTATTTGAAACACATAAAACAAGCCAACTGATGTAGAACCGATTCTTTCAAAAACATTTTGCAAATTGGAAGAGTAATTCTCAAGTATATTTAAGCCAAATGACATCCCGACAAATGGTTCTTAAATCCAAACTTTTTTAACAGGTTTTTCGGCATTTTTGTATACAAAAACAGACATTCTTCAGTTAAAAAGTACCATTCTCAAACCTGTAAGAAGCTCTAGATCACTACAAGATCACTTGACCAGAGAAAAAAAAAGCCTTCATTGATTTGCAGTCTAAAAATATGCTTCTGTTTGATGTCTAATCACATATGAATCCATCATTACTTGCACTCAGAAGAGAAAATGGGATCCTGACAATTCATTCCATGTTTCATGTAAAATGATTTTTAGATCATTTTTCACCATTTACCAAACAAGATTTAGTAACCAAAAAAACCATATAACCAAACCTAACCCCTCAAGAAGTCGGGTCAAGACTCCGCAACTTGGACACTGGAACCATTGTTGCTGTAAGCATCGCCGCTGTTACCCCGCCCGCCTCTTCCCCGACCACCTTGGTAGTTCCGGGGGTAATAACCTCCAGGCTGATCATTGTATTGGTTCCGTCCATTCTGGTATGGCCCAGCTCGTCCACCACTTCGACCACCACGGCCATTTCCGTAACCTCTGCGCCCACCGCCACCACGACCACCGCCACCGCCTCTTTGGTTCTGATAAGACCGTCTAGGTACATACTGTTCCTTGTCTGCACTACCTGCATGTGTTTCAACCGACTCCACCTGAACCAGAGTTTCTACGGAGTTTTGACCTTCTGCCTCATACTGCCGAATAGAAAAATCCTATCAAGGATGAATCAAAAAAATATTTATGAAGATTTAAATATCGAGAGCAAGCAGAACCTTGAGAGAATCTTCAATCGGAGTAGATTGGTCTTCATATGTCTCATTTCTTTGAAAATCTTGAGCATCATCTTCCTGCAGAATAATTAAAGAATACATTATTTATAATCGTTTTCTTCAAGTGAACAGACAGATGCAAATTTCATTTCTGTAATCGAACTTGCTAAATTTTAACTTAAAAACCGATGCATATTCTAAGATCCTAACCATTTTGACAATTTTGGTAGCGAGCCTCCTTTATACAAGTAAAAGATAAATACATGATAATCTATTTTTCAAAAAGAGGAAGCAAGAAACCACACCAAATTGATTTAACTTCTGTGATCAAAATCTTTCCACTGATTTCTATTGTATTTATGATATTATTAATGTGTCACTGCTAACAAATGGAACCAAACTCAACCCATATTCATCAACCACATACAAAGTCTTAAGCTTCATCAAGCCATCATATAGGGTTCCATAGGAATTAGATGCTTGTTGAGTCATCAAACTAGTGGATGTGTTCACTCTCATCAGCCAAACCACCCAATAATATTGTTAAATACCCATGGTTCTAAAAATAGTTGAGGCGCACCTCAAGGCGAGGTGGTGCCTCTTCGACCCTGGATGAGGCTTACGCCTTGGTTCAGTGAGGCATGAGGCGGTGTCGAGGCATACGCCTCAAATGATTGGCTTTAGTAATGGTTTTTTTTGGCTTTTCTATAAGTTTTATGGCAGTAGTAGTACTTCTTTTTATAGTATGTTTCTTTTTATATTAATAAACTAAAAGTCAAAGTTTAATGGCCCCAATGTGTACTTTTAATATTTAAAAACTCAAAAAACTGGTACTTTCTCCTCTCAATCAAACCATGTTTTCCATACCATCTACGCCTATCTCATGGTTTCACTCTTTCCACCGTCAAAAACCAATGAACCGACGCCCTTAGTAATTTAGTATTATATATTGTATATAAATGTGTATATATACATATTTTAGTGTATATGTTTCCGGCTCGGATAGCCTCAAGGATTACGCCTCGCCTCGTTGAGGGAAAACGCATCAAGACCCGATTCCGCCTTATAGAACCTTGTAAGTACCCACCCCCTTCGATTTACTTACAGTAGGAAGAAGGGTCCGATTAAGCAAGGCTTATGGTAGATAAACACCTCAATTGCTTTGTCAAGGGGTAGGGGTGGAATGGGGATTTTATAAATAAATTTGTTATGGATAATAGTATAAGGAGGGTAGTGGGCATAGGCTGTGGTTGCAGATATTTCCCTTATCTTGTTTCCTTTTTGGAGAGACTGGCCTGCTTAATCAATCATTTGACTGATTCATTTGTTTTTTTTATTGTCTGGGTATTCTGAGTTCTTGTCTTTGACAAATATCCACAAAAGTTCCAGTTTCAAAGTTGCAGTCACAAGTTAATTTGTATGTTGAAACGTGAATGCATCCAAAGATAAGAGAATAGTGAACTACATGATCGACTAGTTTAGAGAATGGAAGAGGATAACCAAGTCTAATATGTGTAGAATAAAAAAATGAAATGTTAATTTTTCTAAGCATCACAGAATGCAATGGTGCCTGGGCTCCGCAGTGCTGTAGGCAGACCAATTAACAAGAAGATGAATAATGGAGATGAACTGTTATGAATTAAATGCATTAACTAATTCATTATCCAACAGGTGCAAATCAAAAACTTGATTCTAGAAATTCTAGCAAGGCATAGATTACTACAAGAATTAACTATCATCAAGTTACTAATTCAAGCAAAAGAGCCTTTTATTTAGAAATAAATTCAATTAACCAGACAGGCCTAAATCGTTTATTTTAATAATCAGCACTATCTCAAAGCAACATTCTCAAAGACAACTACATGATCCTTACTAAAATGTCATATTCAATGTTAAAAACACAGGCTTCAACATCAAGCATCTATCCTATTAAAATTTCCCTACTCGTGATTTATCTTGAGTTGATAATATTTCCAAAAATTCCTCAAAGCAGCCCTGTTTTGTTTGTGGCAAACACGGGCTTCGTCATCCACAAGGACCACAACTGCTTGTTATTAGTGGATATCAAGCGTACAAGCCTAAATAGCGATGTTAGGCCTCTTAGAGGCTTCGACGATGGCACCYGTTTCTCCTTTCTGCTATTTTCTTATAGTAAGAGTGACACTATGTATTGATATGTTCATGCTGAGTTGAAGATGTCTGCCATTGTATTAGAGAAAGGGTTTTCTAAGTTTTATGATATCAACTTTAGGCAATGGTTACAACGGTATGTGGGCCATTCTGTGATGCCTTAATAAATAGTTCTCTCAAAAAACCAGTATCCCAGGTCATATCCTTGGGCAAGATGATCTCTGCATCTCTCAAACTGCCCAGACGGATATGTTCAACAAACCAAAAGATCTGATATCTTTGCATCTACTAGCACTCTCCCTCCTTGATGTTTCCTAGAACCTGAGGCTGACCAAGCTCAGACTCAGCAGCTGCCTGCATCCTTTAGTGCTTATGAGGTCCTATTCTTGTACTTCTTTGAGTACTGAACTACTTCCTAACGTAAAATTTGATGCAATGAACAAGATTATTGACAACTAAAAGAAATTAATCCATGACTAAACACCACCCCACTCTTTTGCAGCTTAACTAATATGGAGAATTATTTTTATATAAATCATCCACAAAAAAGTATTTTGCATAATAGGACCCTATACTCAGCAACCGTGTCGTTTTCTTTCATGGCTTTAAAAGTTCTTATGAGTTTAGCTTATCTACTAATTAACCTGGGTAAAAGGTTTTGTATTCTATAGAGTCCATTTCATTACACACATACAGGGTAGTTGTTAGTATTGGCAGGCTCTACTTGTAAGATACGAGGGAATAAAATTAAGATCATGTACCTTGAGTTCTTGATAATTTCTACAAATGATAAACTGGATTAAATAGTTAATTATGGTACCAGATATTTCACTCTTTTACAGTCTTTTTTTCTATTAGTTATTCTCTGTAACTCTCATCTTCAGTTGATGTGGAATAGCCATGAGGGACTTCATTACGAAAAAATTGCTGTATGACAAAAAATTGTTATCTACACAATTATCAGTACCCAATAGACTGGAATCAAGGAAAATCCACCCCTTCCCTTAAGCTAAGATATCCATCAGAGTCCTAATCCCTCACCCCAAGAGTTTTTATGGCTTAACATAGTATACTATAAATGAGCTAATGTCATCCTCATGAAAACCATATTTTCTTAAAATTAAGCAACTATCCAACATGAAGAAAGCTCTTAAAAGAATTTTAATGGCTTAACATGGTATACTATAAATGAGTTATTATCATCCTCATAAAAACCATATTTTCTTCTGAAAATTTTGCTTCTCTAGTCAAATATTTGATTTTTAGAACTTTCAAATCTACAGATCTAGTTCAATCACACAATACCTTTTTCCACTATCCATGTCCGCTAACTAATATATAAATATATTCAAATATAACTCATCTCTTGTTCTGTTTTCCTTCTAACTTTTAGGACGTGGATGCTCTCAGTAGCATGTGTGCGCCAGTATACGCACACTGCACACATGAAAAAGAAGTTTGAATGGATCAATACTGGGAAAAGCAAGATAGATCATCTTGTAAAAGAGCACCAAAGCAAATAATTTGGAAAGTCAAGGTCTGTCACATAAGGCCCTTCAACAGGAAGGATGTGTACCTAACACGCCCATGAATGAGTGGCTATAAAGAATAGCTTTATCCTAAAGACAGTTGCTAAGGCAATGGTTGACATAATTAATCCAAAATTTAATATTAAAAAAACTAAAAATGGTTCACACAGCAACTGAGAAGCCACTGAAGACGATGAAATTTCTACAGATCATTACAACTTAAGGTCACAATGGAAAACAAAAACATGCCATGTAATAAGTAATAACCTTTGAGCTAACGTGTATATCAACTTTTATACCAGAAACATTTGTATGGATTGCTATAAACTGGCAAAAAAATGCAAAAGTATAGAAGGTCATTAATCACCCATACCTTTGTGGTCCAAATATTTTCACATGAACAATAAGAACTAGAACTCAATGCACATCTACAACATTGCAAAGAACCAAAAAACAGTAGATCATCATGGAAATTAGAAACTGGATCAATGCTATATGGCTATATCAAAGTAATGTTGTTTAAGTGCGTATTTCACTAAATGACATATAGTATAGTACCTATCCAACAAATCTCAGCATGCATCCACATGGAACACAATACACAAGAAGGCAACCACATTCCTACCAGTCACTTAAAAGTTAGAAAACCAAAACATGTTACCTTTTGTTCATGATGAGTAACTGATTCCACCTGCACTGGCACTTGGAAAGCATAGTTACCTGCAGCTTCCGCAGCCACATCAGCAGTTGCTTTCATCTCTGGTGTTATTTTGAAGAAATCTGACCCAATAATCTTTGCTAATTTCTCTCTCAGAGCGGCATCTGTAACGACCAAGGGAAACTAATACAAACCTATTCATACAAACAATATAATCAATTAAACTAGATTCAATCTTACAAGTAACAATGGAGTTCGAATCAATAGGCTGTTCAGACTTCGCAAGCCAAAGCTTTGCATGTTCAATGCATCTCTGTAATGCATTCTGGTGCGAAAGACTCGAATCCACTGGTCTTGAAATCAACAGAGAACCCATCATCGAGATCAAATCCAAATCCCTCTCTCCCAACATGACAGCAGCCTCATCATCAGTAACATAGTCATACGTCAAGCAACAGTTCCTCTCGTGCGTCCTTGTCAGCATAATCGAATTGAAATCACTCTGCGATTTCACATCAAACATAGTCCCAAAGTAAATCAAACTCAGAAGATCCTCCACAAACGCAACAGGTAGCACCGTCTCTTTTTGTTCATTTTCTAAGGTTTTGCCCACATTATCACCATCAACTTCATCATCATTGTTTTCCGATGCTCCAACGAGACGGTGTTGTATAGCAAGATTGATTTCTTCATCAACGGCGACGGATAAAGGCTGGCGAAACTTCTCGAGCTCGTCGACAGCAGCGACGATCGTAGGTTTTGATTTAAGGAGTTCTTCTTGCTCTTTGTTTTTGATGAAGGATTTCCCCTCAGCAATGGATCCTTCGAGCTGAGAGATTCGGTTGAGTTTTTTTCTTAGGTTACGGATGCGCTTGTTGATGAGAGTAAGGACTGGTCCATCGGTTACATCAGAAGCAGCCGTGGCTGACGCCATTCCGTTGGTTTTGCGGTTATAGGAGGAGAAAAATGAATATGAAGCTTTGCTCCGCCGTCCACGGCGGTGTGAGAGTGGCGGACGAGGGTTTTGAGTAGGGTTTGCAGAGGAAGATAAAAGGGGGAAATAGGAGAGCGGTGAAACTTAAAACCCTTTGGAGAAGAATGACAAGCGCCGGGAGTTTTTTTATAATTAAATAATCATATAATTAATTAATATAAAATAAATAATTATTTTTTATATATTAAATATAACAAAACAAAATAAAGATATATAACAAAACAAAATAAAGAATAATTTGTACATAAAAAACTTCAAATATTTGATGTAATGACAAAAATTGCAATCAGTTAAATTCACTTTAATTGTATAATGAAGATCAGTTGCAAATTGTTATTTAGGAGCCGTTTACCAAACACTTACCTGGTAAATGTTTACCGGTAAAATTTAACACTATCATTTACTTACCGGTTATGATTTTAGTCCACCAAAATGACATCATATGCAACAATTTACTTGGTAAGCATTTACCGTGTTATGAGTCGTCGTCCTCACTTACCAGGTAAGACTCTTGCCTCTTGTCTCGCTTTTTATCAGGTAAGATTCTTGATCCTTATCATGTCCATCTAATAAAGTAATATGATTTGTTAAACACTTACCAAGGTAAACATTTGATAAACGGCCCCTTATACATCTCTTTAGGATCAGGGTCATCTGCTATAGTTGATAAGATTTATTATAAATGACTGGTTTTTGCTATAGTTGGTAAGATCAAGGTCTTCTCATATGGTTTTGGGTGTTTCTAAGAAAATTATGGGGTTTTATAGAAGGGTATTTTAGGAAATATAAACATATTTTTCCATTACTTAAAATTGAAACATATTTTTTGTTATATATATATATATATATATATATATATTTTTTTTTTTTTTTTTTTTTTTTTTGTAAGGGTGTCCGGGCCAAAACCCGACTAATCCCCGGCAAATTTGGAGGCTAAACATGGCCCCACTTAAATGTCACCAACACTCCCCTCCCAGGGCTCGAATTCGGGTTCATGACTATGTCATGCCCAAGCCTTTACCACTAGGCTAGAAGGTCTTTGACTTTTTGTTATATTGACATACATTAAGCAAAGAAACTCCAATTTCCCATACAAATAGACTAATCATTTGCAGGTTTAGGCCGGACCTTGGTCGAGCTTAATCTGTCTTTTTTTTATCCAACGGGCCTAATATGGTAAAACCAAGTCCATTTTTACGGGTTTGAAAACATACCCATACCCGTCCTATAAACGGTTTGGTCTCACTCACGGGCTTAAAAATCTTGTTATATTTTTATGAAAACAAAACTAATATAAAAATCACAAGTTATGTAAAATAATTCAAAATACATAACAATTTTTCCAACTTAAAATTTGAAGTAAATACATAACAATATACATACTTTAAAAAGAAATTGTTTCGCTAAATATGAAGTATCGATAAAGAAAATGACTAAATGAGATAATATTTCAAATTTTAGATTTTTAAAGAATATTATTATCACAAGTCATAATTAAGTAGGAATTGGTAATATCAAGAATTTTCAATTTTATTTGTAAATTTTAATTATAAAAGTTAATTATCACAAAAATATTAATGGGCCTGGCGGGGTTGCTCAACTATTTTTTTTTTCATTGTCTATGTTCGTCCATTAATTTTAATAAGTCAATCCAGACCCGTCTATTTCTTCAAGAATAGTAATCCAAGCCTGTTTTTCTAGCAATCCTAACATGACAGGTCTAGAGCGTCATCCCGTCCGTGAACAGAAATTTGTGCCAAAATTGGAAAGTAAATGTGTCTTCACTCCATTCACAACCATGGACCAACTCAAACCTCAAGAAAACAAAGACAAAATTAGAAACTAGATAAAAAGGGTTTGTTTATGCTTTCTTGATGATTGCCTTCAAAAGGAAAGCTATTAATACCCCTTTGCAATATCAAAATCAACAAGAGTTTTGATGCATGTGAACATTTATGTGTCATGTTACATCAATTTGATGTTATCATCTTATTAAAATTTAGGTTAAGAGAAATCCTAGTAGGTATGCTTTTAAAGACAGGTTTATATGATGGACGAAAATCATCTTAACGATAAAAATACTTTTGAAAACCATCTTATGAACGGTAAACATTGTAAAGAATAATAAGTATTATAAAGAAGCTACCAAGTTGTGTGCCATTGCCATGGCTTTCTCATCGGGTTGCCGTTGCGCTCATATCTTCATTCGGGGATGATAAGAATGTTATTCTCATACCCGTTGTGGTTTATGATAGGTCGTAAAGGATCAACTCTCCAAACACCATCAACGACAAATTTAATCTACAAAACAAGAGAAGATGATGAAAAGGATGAGTCTCATTCATAAGGGTGCGTTTGGTATCCAGACGGGCAGGACAGAACAAAAAATGTGGTAAGAAAGAACCGGATAGAACAGTAAAATGACCAATGTACCAAACGCACTCCTAAGATAATATTGACAATTTTCGGTATTTTTGAAATGAATTAGGGAGGATCGACTACCTCATACCTTCCGGGATACAACTGCAAAGACAAAGAGAAAACACCCGTCTTTGATCTTTTCATCTTTTTCTACATTACATCGTCACTAGTTACAATTGGATTCATAAGTAACTATATTAACACAATGCATAGATCAATGTGTGGGACCGCGTAAGTGAGAAAAAGCGAAGGTATCCTTGTATGTATGGAAGTTTGTAGTGAAAACTGTGAAGATACATTTATATTGTGTAAAAGTTACAACATTCACACAAGATAACACAACCTTCTGATACAGAGTTGAAGGTGATGTGAAGGTTGTAGTCTTCACATAATATAACGTAACATTCACAAAATATAAAGATATCTTCACTTGTTCTCACCTTCTCACGAACGTGTAGAATATCCCATCTGCCCCTGGGTTCAATTTCAGGTGTCCATCATAATTTTGACCACTGAGTTTATTAGGGTTGATGCATTATAGTCGCAATTTGTCGAGACTAGGCATAGCCCCGGACACCCTTCCAAAAAAGCGGGCGATCTTTGAGAAATTGTGAATTGTAATGGCAAAAAACCTTTGTACTTGGCTTTTTTGTCCAAAAATTTCTCATGCTTTAATGTGTAGTGCTCTTTCTACCATTTTTGCAAGAATGATGGGTTGTTTGCAACAGAAGCAAAGTAAAATGGTTCCGGAAGTTAATCGTATTCTAAAGAGAGGGCACCTGAGTGGTCCAACCGTCAAAAGATCCTGCTAAGAGAACTTCTGAGGCCGAATTAGGCCAAATTATGCTGGTGTAATGAAGAAGATGCAAAGCTCTACATCCGTTATCACTTCTCCTTTGTTTCTCCTCAACTCTTTTTCGTAAATTACTGAAATGGAAACCATAAGCGCGTTGTTTTTCACTTAAGAAAGTTAACAAATTAGAAAATGAATAATGCATACATAATTGATAATCCCATCTCTCTTTCTAATACTGCTAGCTCTGCACGTATTGATCTCAACCTATCTTTGGTATTCATAAACTCGTTTTCTTGGAATTCCCGTGTATCAGGAAGCTGTTGTAGCTCATTGGACGATCTTTTATGACCCTGGTTAAGATTTCATAAGACCAATCAGAAGTATCATGTGTTGTAGGATTTACATTTGATAAGTTATGTTGTTTCGTATAGTTTTTGGCAGATTATATACAATGTCCTATGCACTTGAATTGATCAAAGTGTATGAATGTCTCTTAGGGACTGGTTGTTAGCAGCTTAATGAGCTTAATGCGGATTCACATCTTATTCGATCAGGTATACATGATTGTTTGGTAGTGGCTTAATAATATAGGAAGTGGCTTATTCAGTAAGCTTCAAGGGAAGAGCTTTATGTAGAAAGCCAAGTTTTTTCCAAACCTGTCTCTCCCAATTAAAAACACGCTCCTTCCATCTATGAAAAAACTCTCCCACGCAAAAACCTTCCAATCTATACAAACAGATTAATCCATACAGACATCTTTATCCATACAGAACTTAATTGAAAACCAAACCAAACAACTACTCTTCTATGAAGTCAAATTGCTCAAACTTGATCATAAACCATGAGCTCAGCAACACTTTCTGTACAGTGCTGAATTAGAACTACAAGCAAGAAGAGATTATTGTTTTTACCGATTGCAAAACTTCAATGGCTATGTCTCTCTAAATACATGTTGAGAATTCTTTCTTTTGTATTTCTTTCAAAGAATACCATCATATACTCGTATAACCATCAAAATTTGGTGGTTATAGGAAGGAGGTTGACGACACCATCAAAAGAATTTTGCATGATTCTTAAGTTGAAGGCTGCTGATAGTGCTTTTGTTGAATGGGAAACAAATTTCAGCAGTGGATAGATGTAACCCCCCAAAGCCCAAAGCAACAGGCTGACCCATTAACTTCAAATCCAACTTAAAACCATGGTGGAAGTTATTGGTAGCCCGTAGCCCATAACTTGAGGCTTATAAGGAGCTCACAAATCCTATTTTCTATCTATGTGGGACGAGTTGTTACATTAGATTATCCGCGAATGACCGGTAGTATATATTGGTAAAAATGACCAACAATTTGCAGTTACGACCAACATAAAACTTCTATCTCTAAGTACCCGAAGAAATAGAAAATCAAGAAATAACCTGCAGGCTCTTTCGGATCAAAATGGCAAATGGTATGGCCATATTGACTTTAAACTGAAGTATCCATCTTGTAAATTAGTCAGAATCTATCCATACTGAAATTAAGGAATGTCCATATTTGGCTAAGTTCATCAACTTACTGTTACAGATTTCAGATACACCTCTTTCAATTATTTTTAAATTTTCATAACACCTAGATGGTGATTAATTAAAGGGTCTATGTCAATGAGGCCTTGAATCCCTTCACCTAAAGATTTCCCTAAATTTATCCGGATGCAAGATTTACAAGCAAGTTCAAACAATATGATCATATTCATTTAATTGCTTAAACTGTCGTGGAATAGAATATGTGAAAATAAATTACCAACCTCTGGATTATTTTTGTCACTTTTAGACCGCAGTAAGCAAAGGGATGAAGAAAGCTCAAGTTGCATGTCTTGAAATCGAGATATTATGTAATTTGAATTTATCTCCTTGTGCCTCTCCTGAAGTTCGGTATCTCCTTGTGTACCAAGCACTTTATCTTTCGAGTCCTCTTCTCCTCTTGTTAACTTTTCACCACAATTGATCTCCGCAGCTGCAAGTCAACAAATAGAAATAACTGGATATGGCCTCTGGGTAAGAATATCAACGAAAATAAAAAGTATATAGACTCATTAAGGCAAATAACCATGGAAATACTTCAAATCCCAGATGTAAAGAGAGTATTGCCCTGAGTTTATAATCACTTAAGGTCAAGGAGGGATCTAACCGATGTGGGTATGCTATATTCATGGTGGACACAGGGCCTGTCTGTTAGCAGCTTAACGAGCTTAATGAGACTCATAGTTTATTCGTTCAGCTATACATGATTGTTTGGTAGTGGCTTAATGAATATAGAAAGTGGCTTATTCAGTAAGCTTCTAGGGGGGGGAGCTTTATGCAGAAAGCCAACTTTTTTCCAAACCTGCCCCTCCCAATTAAAAACATAATCCTTTCATCTATGAAAAAACCCTACCAAACAAAAACCGTCACAATCTATACTGACGGATTCACACAGACAACTTTATCCATACAGGACTTATGGAATACCAACCAAACAACCCCTCATCTTTACAAAGTGATGGTCAGGAGTTTCATGTATTAGATTGCATGTGCACAATTACAAACTACAAAAAAGGGTTTTAACCTCAATTTGAAACGAAAATTTATGTTTGTGATACGTCTCAGCCCGACCCGCACTGGGGTCGGATATATCAGCTTCGCAAAAGAGAGGCAGGAAACAAGTAGAGGGGGGCTGTTTGCAATTTACTTATTCTTAATTATCTTAATTAGTTGATTAAAATAGATATTAATTAGTTTATTAGGATAAATATGTTTTCCTACTTTTTAGGATTAGGGTATATTTTTTAGGATTAGGGTACGGCTTTATTTAAGGGACCGGCCACCCCATTATTTGCATTCATTCTAGTATTTTGATTCTTGTCGTAGACATTGGAGATTACTGGGTCTCGAATTCCAGGGTTTATTTTAATAAGCATCCGATTAGTGGTATTTTTGGCCGCTAATCTTGATTTTGCCAATTGATTCATATCAAATTGGTATCAGAGCATCGATCTTGCGCCTGTGATTTTATCCACGCTACCATGACCAAGATTCAGGATCTTGAAGCTGAGTTGACCCAACAGAAGGTTGCCGTCGAACAGTTCTGCGCTGAGACGACGGAGCGGTTCGAAAACTTGGAGACCACCGTGGAATCGTTGCGCACTGAAATGGAGAAGCAACATGCGGAGATGATGAAGGTCGAAGGTCATGTTGCAACAGTTCCAGGCGTTAAAGCCACCACCACCGCCGACAGCAGTCGTGCCATCGCCAATCTTCACCGATTGCACCACACGGCCCATAATGCATCAATCGAATCCGATTTTTGATGAGAATGGGGAGCCCCAGCCGCCTTGGCATGCAACCAGCAGTACGGCCAGGGAACCGAACAGGCCCATCGGCACTCAGGAAATTCCTTTTCCGGAGTCAAGTACGTTTGCTTTTTCTGAGACTGAAAGGCCGTTTGGCAGCGGGTATGGAAGGGGCTCAGGACCTTCGGGGGAACGGGGGTGGGTGCCGGGGGCGGACCACCGTCTTCGTAAGCTGAAGATGCCGTTGTTCGATGGAACTGATGCATATGGGTGGGTGTACCTCATGGAAAGATTTTTCGACGTTCAGGGATTTGTTACTACGGGGGAGAAGTTGAGAGCGGCAGTGTTGGGGTTGGAGGGACAGGCCCTTGCATGGTACCGATGGAGTGATGATAGGCATCCTTTTCGTCACTGGGAAGGATTAAAAAACCGGTTGTTGGCGCGGTTCCAGTCATCTCAGGAAGGGGACCTATACGAACAATTTTTGGCAATTAAACAGGAAGGGTCGGCACGCGAGTATATAGGGAAATTTGAAATAGTATCGGCACAGCTAAGGGGTATTCCTGAGAAGATYATGCARGGTACATTCCTAAWAGGGTTGAAACCGGAGCTACGAACTTCCGTGAGGTTGCTTCAACCAATGGACTTAGACCARGCGATCCAACTAGCTCTGATGGTGGATGAAAATAAAAMTGTCAGSAATGGGAACGTGGAAAAAGGGGAAAACAAAAGTCAGCCAGTGCGGACCGGAGTGGGGGGCTCACGGCCGCTTGCCGCCCCACCAACGGGAACCCAACGACCGACAACAGGGGATAACGAGCAGCCGTTTAAACGGATGACAGACTCGGAACTGGCGGATAAACGGGCTAAGGGCTTATGTTTTCRATGCGATGGGAAGTTCACACCCGGACACCTTTGCCCCGAGAAATCCGTGCGGATCATGTTAATGGATGATGAAGATGATGAGGGGGAAGAGGTAATACCGGAAACTCACGTGCACTTGGATGCGATGGAGGTGTCGGTACACTCAGGTGGTGGAGCAGTTCCCTGGCTTTCACCTTGAGGACAAGGTGAATTTTCGAGGCGGGGGTAATGATACGTCTCAGCCCGACCCGCACCGGGGTCGGATATATCAGCTTCGCAAAAGAGAGGCAGGAAACAAGTAGAGGGGGGCTGTTTGCAATTTACTTATTCTTAATTATCTTAATTAGTTGATTAGGATAGATATTAATTAGTTTATTAGGATAAATATGTTTTCCTATTTTTTAGGATTAGGGTATATCTTTTAGGATTAGGGTACGGCTTTATTTAAGGGACCGGCCACCCCATTGTTGGCATTCATGCTAGTATTTTGATTATTGTCGTAGACATTGGAGATTACTGGGTCTCGAATTCCAGGGTTTATTTTAATAAGCATCCGATTAGTGGTATTTTTGGCCGCTAATCTTGATTTTGCCGATTGATTCATATCAGTTTGCTCATCAAGGATGAACTTGATACACAGAAAGAACAAACATGGTAGCATTTTGAGGTACAAGAAGCAATACTAGAATACTAAATGTTAGATCAATATAGTTGGATGTATCACATAGAAAATGTATATCCATGACTCACCCACATCAGCTGACGAGCAACCTCTGTGACCGCCATTGTCCTTGCTCGAAGCATAAGTATCATGTCCATTTTCTAGCATACTAATGCCAAAAGACAAGCTTCTATCTTTCTCCAATCTATAAAGTATACCTTCAATCCCTGCATCTTCCTGATCTACTGTACCTCTGATCAAAAGAATTATTTAAGCAAAGTAACAATTCCCTGATTAAAACATAGTGTTTCAGATGATCAATGTTGAGACTAATATTATAAGGGTGCGTTTGGTATCCAGAAAAAACTGGACAAAACAACTATTCAGCGTTTGGTAAGACAGAACTGGACATGACAGAATAAATAAAATGACCAATTTACCCCTAATGAGTTGTTTATATATTTTGATTAATGATGTAATTTATTAAATTATAATATAATATATATTTATAACAAAATATAACATTAGGAAGTTTTCATCAAGACAATTAATATGACACCAAAATAAAAAATTTATGTAGTTTCCAATTTTTATTTTATACCTTTTATATATTGTTTTTTATTATTAATATTTAACAAATTACGTAAATTGATCAAAATACATAAATTGTATAAATATAGTTTTTTTGAGGACAGTAAAGAGCATAAAATACAATAAACAAAAAAGATTGAATAAAATGTAAAGAGGAAGACGAATTGGATGTTTTAGAAGAGAATTATGTTTTATTTTGAGATTATATTTGTAAAACATAAGTCTGTGTCACCTTGTTCCACGGGGTGAGGGTGGAACAAGTCTGTTCCACTTTGTTCCTGTTTGTTCCACGTAAAAGTCTTTCCAAACATGGAATAGTGATCCTTATTTTGTAATGTCTGTCATGTCCGGTGTACAAAACGCAACCTAAATGAACAACAGCTTTCTCTTCAGAAAACTGTTACCCCAATAAAAGTTTTGATATTGGTTTTAACTTTGGACATTGTTAATGAGTCTACTTTCTAGTTTCTAGCCACTAGCTCACTTAAAGACTGTATACATAAGGAGACAGCAATACTATGATAACCCAGAATAACATTCATTGATTCCCAAAGAAACCCAAAAACAATATCAAAGATTGAATTTGTGCAAAGCGGATGAGAGAATCTTACAGACTTACAGTGATCTACCAGAGGATGAAGCCAATTGATGAGATGAACTACAATTCAAAGAAGGGTCAGAATCATCATTATTCTGCTGACAACTTCTGATTCTTGTATGTAGATCCATAATGTTATCAACTTCCTTTATGTCCAATTCGTTTTCATCATCATAATCATCCCAACCTAATGCAAGCCAACCACCTATCTTGATAATTGCATTGACTAAATCAATTCTTCCAGCATCCAACAATTCTTTCTTGGTTGGGAAATCGTTTGGGTTCCTTGAAACCTTCATGAACTCCAAAATCTCTCTCTCCAAAACCAACTCTGCCTCACTTTCCAACGACCCTTTACACAAAACCCCACTTCTTCTTCTTGTTTTCTTCAACTCTTTAAACCCCCAAAACCTGTCCTTTTTCACCAAAACTAACACAGCTCGTGTCCTAATCTTAAAATTGGTTCCTAACCCAAGGGAGGAAACAACAGGCGAAATCAAATAATGCGCGTTTGAGGAAGTGATAAATGAAACCATCGTTCAGGCATTTCTTCAAACATTTGGTGTGGATGAAATCTTGGAACGATATCGAAAGAGATGGGAACGAGATCCCTGTAAAAAGAGAGGAGGGTCTGCAAAGCAACGAACAATACGTAATGGGGCGAGGAGATCACAGACGATCTTGGAGCAATGGACTCCAAAGTTTTGTCAGTAGACTCCAACTTTTGCTCGGTGCCTATTGGGTTATTCTTGTAACAAAATCCCACGGTTCGTTCAACCAGTAAAAGTAAACACATTACAATTTTATATACTAGAAAAGGGTTAAATGCATGAAATAGCAACTTATTATCATAAAATTTCTTATTATAGTATTCTATTTTTGTTTTTCTTTATTACAATAATGTACTTTCAAATTATTTTTTATTAAGACATTGTACTTTAAAAAATCTACCCATAATAGCAATAGGTAACCTGTTACCTTTTAAACCGGTTAACCCTTTGACTTTTTTGCTTGTGTGGCTTTAATGAG